CCGTTGGAGATGCCATCGTTGGAGATGTCACCATGGAAGGTGTCACCATGGAAGGTCACGCCATGGGAGGTGCCACCACCGTGGGAAATGTCACTGGGGCAAATGTCACCATGGGAGATGACACTGTTGGAGATGTCACCAAGAGAGATGCCACCGCTGTGGGAGATGTCACCACGGGAGGTGACACCACTGGAGATGTCACTGAGGCAAATGTCACCATTGGAGATGTCACCGTGGGAGACGTCATTGTGGGAGATGTCACCATTGGAGGTGACACCATTGGAGATGTCACCATTGAAGATGTCACCGTTGGAGATGTCACCGTGGGAGGTGACACTGTTGGAGATGCCACCACTGGAGGTATCACCATTGGAGATGTCACCGTGGGAGGTGACACCATGGGAGGTGACACTGAAGTGGGAGGTGTCACCATGGAAGGAGGTGTCACCGCTGGAGGTGTCCGTGGGGGAGGTGACACTGTTGTAGGAGGTGTCACCGTAGGAGGTCACGCCGTGGGAGGTGCCACCACCATGGGAAATGTCACCGTTGGAGATGTCACCATTGGAGATGTCACTGTGGGAGGTGTCACCATGGGAGGTGACACTACTGGAGATGTCACCATTGGAGGTGTCACCATGTGAGGTGTCACCACTGGAGATGTCACTGAGGCAAATGTCACCATTGGAGATGTCACTGTGGGAGATGCCACCACTGTGGGAGATGTCACCATGGGAGGTGACACCATTGGAGATGCCACCATTGGAGATGCCACCATGGGAGGTGACACCATGGGAGGTGACACCATTGGAAGCGACACCATTGGAGATGTCATCGCTGTGGGAGATGTCACCGTGGAAGGTGCCACCATGGAAGGTCACGCCGTGGGAGGTGCCACCACCGTGGGAAATGTCACTGGGGCAAATGTCACCATTGGAGATGTCACCGTTGGAGATGTCATCGTTGGAGATGTCACCATGGAAGGTGTCACCGTGGGAGGTGCCACCACCGTGGGAAATGTCACCATTGGAGATGTCACCGTGGGAGGTCACGTCATGGGAGGTGCCACCACCGTGGGAAATGTCACTGGGGCAAATATCACCATGGGAGATGACACTGTTGGAGATGTCACCAAGAGAGATGTCACCAAGAGAGATGCCACCACCGTGGGAAATGTCACCATTGGAGATGCCACTGTGGGAGATGTCACCGTTGGAGGTGTCGCCATTGGAGATGTCACCGTGGGAGGTCACCCCATGGGAGGTGCCACCACCGTGGGAAATGTCACTGAGGCAAATGTCACCATGGGAGATGCCACCGTGGGAAATGTCACCATTGGAGATGTCACTGTTAGGGATGTCACCGTTGTGGGAGATGTTGCCATTGGAGATGTCACCGTTGGGGATGTCACTGTTGGACGTGCCACCGTTGGGGATGTCACCAAGAGAGATGCCAGCACTGTTGGAGATGTCACCGTGGGAGGTGACACCGTCGGAGATGTCACCACTGTGGGAGATGTCACCGTTGGAGATGTCACCGTTGCAGATGCCACCATGGGAGATGTCACCAAGAGAGATGTCACTGCTGTGGGAGATGTCACCATGGGAGGTGACACCACTGGAGGTGCCCATGTAGGACGTGTCACCACCATGGGAAGTGACACCATTGTAGGAGGTGACATCGTGGGAGGTGCCACCACCGTGGGAAATGTCACTGGGGCAAATGTCACCGTGGGAGGTGTTGCCATTGGAGAAGTCACCGTGGGAGATGCCACTGTTGGAAGTGTCACCGTGGGAGATGCCACTGTTGGAAGTGTCACCATTGGAGATGTCACTGTTGGAGATGTCATCGTTGGAGATGTCACCTTTGGAGATGTCGCCATGGGAGGTGACACCATTGTAGGAGGTCACGCCATGGGAGGTGCCACCACCATGGGAAATGTCACTGGGGCAAATGTCACCATTGGAGATGTCACCATGGGAGATGTCACCATGGGAGATGCCACCGCTGTGGGAGGTGACACCATTGGAGATGCCACCGTTGGAAGTGTCACCATTGGAGATGCCACCACCGTGGGAGGTGACACCGTTGGAAGTGTCACCATTGGAGATGTCATGGCTGTGGGAGAGGTCGCCATTGGAGATGTCACTGTTGGAGATGTCACCACGGGAAGTGACACCACTGGAGATGTCACCGTTGGAGATGTCACCGTTGGAAGTGTCACCATGGGAGGTGACACCACTGGAGATGCCACCACTGGAGATGTCACCGTGGGAGGTCACACCACGGGAGGTGCCACCACCATGGGAAATGTCACTGGGACAAATGTCACGATAGATGTCACCGTGGTAGGTCACGCCGTGGGAGATGCCACCACTGTGGGAAATGTCACTGAGGCAAATGTCACCATTGGAGATGTCACTGTTGGAGATGTCACCGCTGGAGATGCCACCGTAGGAGGTCACGCCATGGGAGGTGCCACCACCATGGGAAATGTCACTGGGACAAATGTCACCACTGGAGGTGTCACCATGGGAGGTCACGCCATGGGAGGTGCCACCACCATGGGAAATGTCACCGTGGAAGGTGTCACCATTGGAGATGTCACCGCCGTGGGACATGTCACTGTTGGAGATGTCACCGTTGGAAGTGTCACCATGGGAGGTGACACCACTGTTGGAGATGCCACCATTGGAGATGTCACCGTGGGAGATGTCACCGTGGGAGATGCCACCAAGAGAGATGTCACCACTGTGGGAGGTGTCACCATGGGAGGTGACACCACTGGAGATGTCACCGTTGGAGGTGTCACCGCTGGAGGTGTCCATGTGGGAGGTGTCACCACCACAGGAAACGTCACTGAGGCAAATGTCACCATTGGAGATGTCACCGTGGGAGATGTCACTGTTGGAGATGCCACCGCTGTGGGAGATGTCACCGTGGGAGATGTCACCATGGGAGGTGTCATCGCTTTGGGAGATGTCACCACTGTGGGAGGTGACACTGTTGGAGATGCCACCACTGGAGATGTCACCACTGTGGGAGACGCCACCATGGGAGGTGACACCGTTGGACGTGTCACTGCTGGAGGTGTCCATGTGGGTGGTGTCACCACCACGGGAAGTGACATCAATATAGGAGGTGACACCGTGGGAGGTCATGCCGTGGGAGGTGCCACCACCATGGGAAATGTCACTGTGGAAGGTGTCACCATTGGAGATGTCACCGTTGGAGATGTCACCGTTGGAGATGCCACCATTGCAGATGTCACCGTTGGAGATGTCACCGCTGTGGGAGGTGACACAGTTGAAGATGCCACCACTGGAGATGTCATTGTGGGAGATGCCACCACTGTGGGAGGTGACACCATTGGAGATGCCACCATTGGAGATGCCACTGTAGGAGGTCACGTCATGGGAGGTGCCACCACCGTGGGAAATGTCACTGTGGAAGGTGTCACCGTTGGAGATGTCACCGTTGGAGATGTCACCGTTGGAGATGCCACCATTGCAGATGTCACTGCTGTGGGAGATGTCACCACGGGAGGTGACATCATTGGAGATGTCACCGTGGGAGATGTCACCACGGGAGGTCATGCCGCAGGAGGTGCCATCACTGTGGGAAATGTCACTGAGGCAAATGTCACCGTGGGAGATGCCACCGTTGGAGATGCCATCGTTGGAGATGTCACCATGGAAGGTGTCACC